ACGCGTGCTGGCTGCCCGCAGCTGCAGGCTCCAGCGCGGCAGCGGGGAGCTCCCAAGGCCAGGGCCCTCTTTGAGCCCCCATCTTATGTCCACAGGCCACGGCTGATTTGGGGGGTGTTTTCCAGTACAGCTCACACTGCTCATCCAATCACAGATTCTGCAGGATGACTGAGCCTGGAGGACAACAGGTTCCATCCAGGCAGGATGCTGTGCTCCATGCATAGTCTAGGCACTCTGGCGCCCGTCTCCCAGATCTCCTGTCCTGCTGGGGCTGCTAGCTCACACCGAGAAGAAAATGGGGTTCACCACAAAGTAAGCCTCCTCAAATCTCGAAGGGAGAGTCTTCAGATCCTGCACCAGAGTTTGACTCGCCCAGAGCCCCTTCCTCTCAGGAAGTGTCCAGGCTTTCAGAAAGGAATGGGGGACAGTCCTGAAGTCACTGTCAGCAGTGCTCAGTGATCTGCTGTTTTGTCTACCAGGACCGCTGAGACCTTGATCTCGACCCCACCCAAGTGGGTGAGAGCTGACTTAAGTGACTCTCGGTCTCCTCCATCCACGTCAGGATCAGAAGGCCCCATTTTCACCTCAGAGACCTGGATCCTACCTGGAGCTGCTCACCCCAATTCCACAGCCTTCCCAGGAGTGCATATCCCCCAGATACCTGAGCCCAGGCTTGGTGGGCCCCTCCCCAGCCCAGGTGTCCTGTCCACACTCAGATGGTCACACAGGGCTGCTTCATGGGCAGTGGGAGGTGCTGCACCATGTCTGAATCTCCGGACTCTTACCTACAGACCCCCCAAAGGCACATGTCACCCACCACCCCACCTCTGACCGTGAGGCCACCCTGAGGTGCTGGGCCCTGGGCTTCTACCCTGCGGAGATCATTCTGACCTGGCAGTGGGATGGGGAGGACCAGACCCAGGACATGGAGCTGGTGGAGACCAGGCCTGCAGGGGACGGAACCTTCCAGAAGTGGGCGGCCATGGTGGTGCCTTCTGGAGAGGAGCAGAGATACACGTGCCACGTGCAGCACGAGGGGCTGGCTGGGGCCCCCACCCTGCGATGGGGTGA